TTGTCAGCTGTTCTTCGTAGTGTACTCGGCCTTTGTCGAGGCACTACCCACCATCTCTGGGCCCTTATAGACGGCATCTCCGTATGCCAGTGGCCGTGCCCCATCGGAGACTACCCTGTCGCGGGACTACTTTATTATAGAGCTGAGAGACGGATCAGAAAATTCGGTATTACTTTCAACAAGGAAGATGCCCTGTGCGAGCTCTTGGATGAATTATTCAAAGACGCGTGGAACGCGCTGGAATAGATCCTCGAAACGGGAGAAGATCTGGTCTGCGACAGAATCGCCAAGGCTATTCCCAAGGATCTCAAGGATCAGGTCTTCCAAATTGTTGTTTCATGTGTACTGTAATTATATGCGTTGGAGATGCTGGTGCTGAAGGGCTTGATAGCTATTGATGAAGCAGTTCCCTAAACTTGTCTAGCTAAGGCGTGCAATGTCAAGCCACCATGCGGAAAAGGTGTCGAGACTAGTATCATTTGGGACAGAACCGAGAGTGTATCGTCGGACCATCTTAACAGCGCAGCTGTCCAATGGGAACATGAGGAGGAAATACTCGCACGCTGGTGGAACGCCCTAGAGAGAGCTGTTTCGCGCCATGCCACAAAATAACCAAGCGCATTCGGCGACTCTCGCTCAAGCCCTGCATCTGTCTAAGGCATCAAGCTGGCTTTTCGCTTTCTCGGAACTAGTGGTTTGTCGGAAAGCAAAAGAGCCACGCAAAAGCTACTTGCGGCTCTCTGATTTTGTCTAGCCAGAGCTTGACAAGCTGTTGTCAGTGTGTGGGGTTGCAGGCTGGTGGTAGCAAGCCTACTTCCATCTAGCTAGCAAAGGCGCGCTAGGAACCGCTGCCAAGAGCATATGCAACGAGCTGAAGCAGTCGCGGAGGCTTCAGAAGCCTACCCGAATGGTCGTTGACGAGACAGGTCTCTGAAAAGTTATCGGCACCAAGGACCAAATCAAGGTCCAGCCCACGCCAACCAAGGTGACTTTGAGATAAATTCTGAGAGATGAGGAAAGGCAATGACGAGAAAAGCCTCTTATCTACTGGACTCTTAAGCATAACAAGAAACGAGGACTGGGGGTAAAGATTGTCGCGGCCTTGTTGCACCTCTTCAGCAGCTCGCCCTTGTAGGCACAGCCCTATAATGCCAACGCCATCCATATCCCAAACAATGACATGTCAGGCAAGGACTCTGACCTGCAGGCCTATGTATATTTCTGTCTTGCTTCCCAACCAGCTGCCTAGAGATAGAAGCTGACAAGGGAGACCATCTCTTCTAGTCTTTACGGCCATCCTATTAGAACTTGAGACATAAAAGGAGATTGTCTTGTTTAACTAGGACATTGACTGACCGCTAGCAGAGCCGTTGTTGCATTTGGCGGTTATTCGGCATCACAAGGGCAATGTTGAGGCTAGCTTTTACTACATTATCAACGACTGCCTTGATCAATACTTTGATTTCAGTGATACGGACAGAAACAGCTACCACACCAAGATCCACCGAGTTATTTAACAAGATGTCATGCCTCTGACAGAACAATACAAAGTGCTCTGGAAAATGAGGCAGCATACAACACGCAGGACTTGAGACGGTGACAGCCGGTTGTCGATGGACTTTGGGCTAGCCACTTGGCAGGCAGGGCATGGCATGGCACCTCGGAGGTCTGGATCGACAGATGAACACGATTGCTGAGACGGCTGATAATAAGTCCCAATACCAAGCGCATTATGCTGCGGCTGTTGCATTATTGATGATCTTGGAGCTGGTTTTGCGAGGTGAGTTGTAGAGTGGTATAGTTGGAGCGTCATGTCTGAGAGGAGAGTCTCAAGTTTCCAGCTATCAGTTAGAAAAGCAGAGAAGTTGTTTTCGGGGTAAATTGCCTCATTTCATAAAGCTAATACCGAAGTTGCTGGCACGGGAGCTACCCATATGTTGCGGACTGGCAGGGTGTGGTGCGCTGCTGTTACTTTGGATCATCCAAGTAATTAGGAGTAAGTTGAAGACCCTCTAGAATCTCGAAGCTCTCAAAGTTATGCTTCACTAAACTGGTTCGTTATATCTCGATCCTCAAGCGGAGGTCAATGTTAAACTCCAAGATCCTTCCGATCTTTCTGTGAGGGTGATTCCAATCCCACAAACAAGGATCGAAGGAACCCCGAAGCCAACTTATCGTCATCGACGTCCTCCCTCAGCCTGTTCGATGGAGAGTTCGGCCGGGGGACAAGGGAGGAAGAGTCACTTGCTAGGCAGTTCCTTGGCCAGGTCCACAACTCTAAAGTCAACTTCAACCTGCTGCTTATCTAAGCTTGTGCCTTTGGGTAATATATCTATGCTATCTTAGCCTTCGTTCCTTTCCTTCTGTCTCGTTTCCTTGAGTCTTAACTCTCCTTATTCTACGCAGGTTGATACTCACGACTACTTAACATAGAGAGTTGTTGTCATTGAGAGAGCCTGCCTGGTTAACTTCTCGCTCTTCTAAGCCAAAGTCATTTAGGAGACAACTACCGCACCTGCTAGCTGTCAAGGCCCTGCCTGAGAAGGTGTTTGCCCCCCGTCATACCTGCCTAATAAATCACCAGAGGCGAAGAAAAGAGCATACTCTCCGCCTAGCAAGAGCCCCGGGCCGTACAGAAGGAGATGAAGTTACAAGTTGTTCATCGCGTTGCCGGCGATATTGCACTCCAACATAGCGCACTTAGAGAAAGGCCATTCCAGAAGCATGGCTAGAACTTACCGTTGATACGATAGGCAATGAATATTGGAGGGGGTGGTTTGTGGGGGGGCGACGTGTGGTACTTGACACTGAAGTAATACCGGGTGCTCTGGGAGTTGCTATGGGCTTGTTTTCCGGGAGCCACACTTGTGTTAAACTCCTTCCTAATTAGCATTAGAAACATTATATAAGCATGAGAAGTGGCTTGAGAGAGGGGTATGGCTATCTTGGGGGATTGGAGTGTCTCGAAACCTCACTAGGTAGACATCGATGAGAGCCACGTAACAGCAAAGGCCCAAGTCCTGACTTCTCAGGGTATCCATTAAAGTATACAGGCTTTCATCTCGCCTTCTGCGCCGCCCTCTCCCTCTCCTAACCCATCCAGATTGCCCGCCTCGCCATAGGTCTTCTTCACTCTCTCCAGCTCAGGTATCATCCCACCCAGCCGCTCCTGCTTGACGGGATTTTAGCCGCTTGGAGCTAACTGGCGGGAACGGTGGCGGTCCTGTTGTCGACGCACGCACTGGAAGGGGCGGAGGCATCCCCAACTACGCATGAGTAAGGCAAATTCCCCCTGTCCTGCTAAGCGTAGGAGAATGATTGATACAAACCAAACCCTGGGGGCAAAGGGGCGTCAAACATAGAACGTTCCTCCACATCGCCCATAAGGAGGTATAGCTGTCCTCTTGTATACTCCATCCACATAGGCATCTGTGCGCCCCTGATCCGCCGCACAGGCAACCTACGCAAAGACCAGCAATGCGGGTTCGAGAGGATAACAGCGCGGGACCTCGATCTCCTCGGCAGGCCCGGCGGTATCGTCTCCCGGATCCGGATCCGCGTTGTGGTCGGCTCCGGCTCAGGTACCCGTACCAGGACCCCCGGGTCGACATCGACGTGCTTGACCCGGCCTTGCTGTTAGGTTTGCTATCTAATTACGCCATGTCTAGATCGTAGGCTATATGATGCCGCGGTTGGCTCTTCGGGAGTTGCGGAGCTGGGGATTTGGATTGGGTACCGCGGCGGGATGATGTGGAGTTCAACCGAAAGAGGGCGAAATTAGAAGCCGTGGTTTCTTCTAGGCTGGTGACTTGATAGCGACCCGATAAAAAGGTTAAAGGAGCAACCCCCTGTACGATTTGATAGAGGGATAGAGTTATGGAGTCCTCAGCTAATCGGAAATAAGGGAACTGCTGCCTTTCGGGCTTTCCAAGGGGTAGAAAAGCAAGGCGCCCTTCGGCCCGCCGGGGAGGAGACCCTATGAGAGCGGAGCCGGGGTGCTGATACATACGAGGCAACCTTTACTGGATGAAGCCCCGGATGAGCGGCTTCTTGCCTTGGGGCTGCCCAGGGAGGGTCTGCCGGAGTAATATGAAGATATCCTAGCCGCGGTGGGCGGATGTGGCAGTCTGCGGTGAGATCTTGAGTACCGACGGTATCGTGAGTATAGCAACGTTGCAGATATTGGTGGCGTGATCAGTATCGTCTCGGTATCGTCCCAGTACTAACAGTACCATTGTCCACTCAAATGAGAGTGTGACCGACGTTTTGATCCCGAGATCGAGGGTCATTGCGAAGATTGCCGTAACGGCGTGGTAAGTCTCGGAAAGCTAGTCTGCATAAAACTCCACCATATTCGCGACGATTCCTTCCGCTTCTGCGGAAACCTTTGACTTCATTGTCCAAGCCGCGCCCAATGGAAGTGAGCCGTGCAAATGTGGCAATTCGCTTCGTGAATGTGACTGTCTCTTCCAGCGCCGAGAAGCTTGGGGGATGGCTGGTCGAGCAACCTCAGTGGCGCACCTGGGCGGGATCTCCTTTCCAATATTGTGTTTGACTACGTGTTGTTGTTTCTGTCTTGACTCACGGGGAAAACGTCTTGAAGGACTTGGTGAACGCTGTCGACCAGTGTTACTTTCGAAGGCTACGCGTATGTCGGACCCATCGTGGAGTTGAGGAGTCTCTTCCATGGTGCGCGTCGCAACCGAACATGTTGCATGGCGTTGGCTACGCCAACACTTGGTCGTGAATGGGCACCAATCACCCACATGCTGGGACCTCGGTGGTCGCTGCACCTCTTATAACATCCCGGCTTCCTGCAATCGCCCCCGGTTTAGATATCTCGAGCCTAGGCCGGCCTTGCAGATAATGTGTCAGGATTGCTATTGCCTAATATAGTCCGTCCACTCGCCAGCATATCTTCCCGTAACTTCTCAGCCCTCCGTAGCTCTTGGTTCCAGTCCATATCCCTTGTTCATTATACTCCATAGCCCTGAAGGCCCTTAATCAATTCCAGTGAGATTGCCACTCCGGTGTTCAGCTGCATAGGCATATATCGCATCATAGTCGCGACATTCATGCGCAACACCCCAACCATCCACCCCTCGCACGATTCTTCCGTCCACCGTCCTCGGCTTCTCCAATGTTGTATCGCCGTTGCACATGATCGCTTGGCGGATGTAATCAAAACAATGGTAGATATGATCATCCGAGATTTGGCCTTCGCCGAGAGCAAACGTCAAGTATTCCTTATCGTTTTCGCCCTTGTACCAGTCCTGTAGTCGGGACATCTTGGACTTTATTGCTGCCTGGTAGGACGACATACTTTAGTAAATCTGCACCTGTTAAGCATATAAAGCTCCACACTCACCAGACAGTGCAGCTGATGAAACACGGATATGGTATACTCCTCAGCTCCAGACCCGGCCAAGTCCTCCAAGGGAAATCCTCCAGAGAGCTTCCACGCCTCCGGATTCTCAACCCGGATATGCCCTTTCCCAGCTGTAGAAGTCTATCAGCGAATCGGACCTAACGCGATATTCCGTCTTATTCTCGGGAGGACGTGGTAAAAAGATACTTGACTCGCGTACGTGGTGACAGTTTACTCCATGCGCTTTCCAGTTTATCTGGTCCAAACGGATCGTCGTTGTAGCTCTCATCGGGGTTAAAAACGACGAGTCTTTTGGGGACTAGCTATGCTTTAGCCAAACACAAATATAGAGGTAGATACTGTAGCTGCTTTTAAGTTCACAAGTATATAAATGGAAGTTGTACTTTTACCGAACATGGATTGAGATGGGAGAAGGCTCTTTTGTTCAATCCCTCTTGAAGAGACAACAAGTATTACCAAGGCCAGAAAGATACCAACCAACAACAACATGCACGGCAGGGAGCGTGAGATTGGCGACCAGAGTCTCCAGCGCGCAGCTTTACCCCCCTCCCGTGATGGCATTTCTTTGGCCTCCCCATTTAGAAACGAAGCGGACTCGGAGTCCGTGAACTCGGGCTGAATGCCTGACATGACGGTGGTCACTCAAGGAAACTCAGCGATTCCTTATCAGCGTAGCAATGCTGGCCAAGGATGAACAGGAGCAGAAAAGACATAAATGCCAAGAAAATGCACCTAGGACTATATAGGTTGATTAAAGTTCATATAAAGTAAGCCGAAGTCCCATGACTGCGTCGTACAAGTCTGACACACAGGGATGATTTCCTGCTTGACAGGGCACTATGGAAATTGAATTTAGGCAGAACCGTCTCAACACCTTCCCCGCCACTTCTTTCTACCTCCCTCGCAGTTCGCACGCCACGTAGCTACATTCACACCACGCAGCTATTCGAGTTACTCCAGATTTACTCTTTGTCTAGGATTCTTGTGCCTTACAATATCAATCCAGGTCCTCGTCTCGCAGCATGGTAGAAGTGGAAGTGACTTCCACGTGGAGCTCTCCTCTTACAACCGCGGAAATGACGCGCGTCTCATTGGGTTTCCTCCAACTCCCTTGTCCGAATAGGAGCGTCTCAATATGAATTACAAGTGCTGTCGGATTTAGCCTAAGCAGCAGGTGGCGAGACCGCCTAGAGGAGTACGAAGTTGATTGCCGAAGGCCTATATCTGGAGGCGCTTGCCTATATTTATGACCACGTGCTTATATCTAGGAGCACGTGTCCATATCGAAACAAGTGCCCATATCCAGGAGCACTAATACATATCCAGGAGCACAGGCCCATATCTAGCAAATCTGGGAGCATCTAGAATTGATCACAAATGAATTGTTCCCAAAACAACTGCGACCGTCGGACCTCCGAACCAAAGCCACACAATCCCGAATGGTGAAGAATTACAACGACGCCAGCTATAATTACCAGATGTTCCAGGAGCACCACAAAGTCGACAAATATATTGCCGCCTGCCTTGCATATTACGCAGTCAATCGAACAAACAAAAACAAGCCTCCCAGTAATCACCAACCAATTCCTGCAAATCGACCCCATGCAGGATGCGCATAACCCTTGAGATCTGTTGCTCAAGTTGTCCGACTTACAAGACTCAGCACAAGCATGGTCATGGCAGGTAAGCTGCTGCATAATTACTTAAAATTTCCACCGCCTCGATTCATTACTCAATGAACGCAAAGCGGCTACGTCTACGCACCTTGTTCCAGTTCCCCGGGTTTCTATGGGATTAGCGACAAACTATAGAAAAGGAAGATTTGCGGAGTATGAGACATCTTTGCGGGAGAAGTATCTAGCTAAGTAGTAAGATCTAGATTGCGATCTACGAGGAGATACTAAAGAGTTCTACTGTAGCTTGGGGGATATTGGAAGAGTTTCTGGAGCTAAATCTCCCTAGTGAGGGGCTCTCCCTTTGCTAGGACAGGGATAGCGATCAGCTCTGATAAACTGGGAGGCAGCCCAAGCTCTTGTTAAGCTCTGCCTGTTGTAGACGGGTGGTTCTCGGGATGTTTGTGGACAGGGAGGGGTTAGCTTTGACATTAGGGATGGATGATCTCACTGGCGCTAGGGCTAACGCTGGGGTTGACCGTAGAGGGCATATATAGGTGGCCGGATAACATGACCACATCGAGGTGCTTGTGTGTCAGGGTGCTGCCTTGCTCGTCTTCCTTGTCAGGAGTGGTCCTCTAAATGAGGTGGAGCTCCCCCCTTCCCTAGCCCTAGTGGCAAGAGCTTGGAAGAGATGGGCATGGCTGCGTGGAGCTAGCTCCACAGACGCCGACGGGGACCCCAACACGTCACCAGTCAGGCATCCGCTGTGCACCCAGACCAGGATGTCGTCGGCCTCAGCAGTCTTGCCCATGACGAAGGCCAAGGGAGTCTCACCGTCAAGCAGGCTCTTGTAAGTCACTCAGCAAAACACTCCCCACGGAGTAGGGAGCCGGGCTTCCGCCGGGTTAACTAGGGCGGCGACGGTGGTTGTCTGATCAGTAGCGGAGATCCCAGTAGTGGTGCCAGCCACAGGGTCGTCAGTGACAGTAAACGTCGTGCGCTGCACTTTGGTATTGCAGGCCACTATCAGCAGCAGGTCTAGTGCAACAGCTTGCTTAAAGGTGAGGGCTGTGCAGATCAGCCTGGAGGTGTGGCAGACGACAGCCATCTGCTCTGGCGTAGCTTACTAGCAGCAATGATTAGATTGCCTTCGTTCCCGCAGTCCTTGTCGTCAACCACGACCACAATCCTGCCTCAGGGCGACAGTGTGGCAACCGACAGCCCAGCCAATCCGGCGTCGAACAAGCCCACAGGGACAAGGTTGGTCCACATGTCCAGGTCAAGCTGGGTCACCCCAGCAAAGCGCTCGCACGATACGTTGGCCACAGTCGTAGCGCCTGGCCTAGCGAACAGTAGAATCCCGTGGTCCCCGCCAAGCAGCGCCGGGGCCGGGTAGATCACATATTGGTCGACTAGGCCGTCGGCACAGGCTGGGGTGCGACCATAGTGGGCGCTGGGAGTATGGTACTGCACTGCCGGTACCATAACCTTACTGTCATGTTGCGCTCCTACCCTGCGGTGACGGTGCTCCGGAACATGGCGAGGGCGTTCGCCGAGGAACGTGGCTTTCTCGGCGACGAATATTGGGAGCTGCCAAACCCAGCTTGGCCTTGATGGGTCCGGCAGCCCACTAATACCTTTGTCGACCAACCTGACCTGCCCTTCAAGCGTTTAATGTTTTCGGATGTCGGTCGAGGACGGAGCTTGTTCATGGTGATGCTGTCGTCAGCCTAGCGTCTAGCAGTTTTGACGGTGAAGAGAACGACCGCTGTCTTGGACTGCCTATAAGCTATGAGGAAGTCATAGGGGTGGTGGTTGAAGTTGAGGTCTTCAAAGTCGACTGGGACGCAGACACAGCTGTCGGAACCGACGGCTGCAACGCAAGCGCCGCCTGCTCTGGCTAGGGAGTTATAGAGTCTTACGACGAGAGTCATGTGACCGAAGCAAAAGGGTACTCCCATCCTTCTAGGGTTTAGGTAACTGGAAGGCCAATCACTCCGGCGTTGTTGATTAGGATGTGAAGGGGGCCCTTCCATGTGCCGGTGAACTGCTTGATTAAAGCTTAGTCGCTGAGGTCAAGCTGTGCAGTATTTAATTACTTTCTTGTTCCTGGTCTAAGCGGCAATCTCATCTGTGGCTTACCGGCTAGCGGCAAGGTTGCGTATGGCGAAGGTTACCTTGGCGCCGGCGGATGCAAGCGTTTGGGCGGTTTTGGCACCGATGCCAGAGACTCCTCCGGTGATGACAACCCTCTTGCCGCTCCGGGTCGACCCTGCCAGTGATGTCGTCGGCAGTAGAGTCACAGTTGGAGGAGGTGCTGATGCGTGGACGTGTGGTCTCCTTAGAATTTGTCTCTTTAGTTGCGGTTGAACTGACGTAGTGGGTTAGGTTAGCAAGTCCACATATGCTCTATCGGTTGGCAGAATCTGCCATCGAGGCAGATGTTAGCTAAGTTGAGGTAGGTGTTCTGGATAATCTAAATTAAGGTAGGTGTACTCGATTATCTGTCGGTCCACAAGGGCAAACTCATCAAGACAGCCAAGTCGCAACAGGTTGGTTATCAATGGTTTGATTGCCCAAATGGCGTTGCGGGGGATAGGGTCGAGGACAGGGTCAAGCCTCCCGCGATGATGCAGTTCACCCAGATCCCCCAGCCAATCAGGATGGGCCGCGGGGAGGGCCATGCCAGAGACCCCGACTTTGCTGGCAGGATAGACCAGTTGTCCGCCAACACCTTCTTCGGCATGAAGTGTTGATGACAACTCCTCGCTCACCGTCGATGAGGTTGCGCAACATGGCGCTGATCGCGTGGCGCATCACGTTGAACATCCCGAAGAGGTGGACGCCCAGCGCGAGACCGAGACGCTTAATCGACCAGGGCTGACGGTGTGGTCGTGTTCTCCTTTGGGGTGCTGCTGCGTGGCCTGTGGGCCTGTGGACTTCTCCGGCAGGCAGTAGAATTCTGGAGGTGCTCTACATAGCAATGGAGGGACCTCCACCATGCCACATTCTGATCGTGAATTCCGCAAGAATGTGGAGTACCAAGATGGCAGACCGACCCCGTAAGCCAAGGGCGGATTCTAAGCGGAACCGTGAGAGTGTGCTGCGTGCTGCCCGGTTCCCCCTGACCGCAGATGGGGCGGGGACGAGTTGTTGTTCGAAGTGGTCACTCGCGCGGCGGGGGTTGGGATCGCCACCTTGGACCGGAACTTCCGGACCCAGGAGGACCTAGTGCTTTCGGTCTACTGACACAAGGTCGCCAAGCTCACCAAGATCGCGGCTGATCTCCTAGCAACCTATCAGCCAGCGACTACACTACCCTGTGAGAGCGGATGAATCGGTTTCGCAGCTTATGTGAAGGCTAACCGAGATAGCCAGCGCCCTGCACACGACAGTCGTGTCGGAGAGCAAGGTGTTCTCCAAGACCAAGACCTATGCCGAGATCGTCGAGGTGCTGGCGAAGCTGCTGGCGGCAGGATCGGACGATGGAATTATCCTCTCGGACGTGGAAGTCAAGGATGGCGTGCGCGCCATGAGCAGGCAGTGGTACGTCGGCATAGGGGAGCCCGGACAGACGGCCTTTGCACCATACACCGGTAATGGCTGCAACCCCGGCCGACACCCGACGGTATCAAAGGCGGTCGGAGCACCCGAATGTGGGCAGAGGGGTCTTCGCGGTTGGCGTATCGAGATTGAAGCGCTTGACAAGTAGCCAGATAACCTTAATTGTGAGCAGGGAGTGTTGTTGGTATCTAGGCTGCAGGACCAACTCGAGCGGGCGGCATTGAGCCAGCCGATGACCATCGTGGTCGACGATGTGTAATAGGCGGACGTAGCTATCCTCATCGCGCTTGCGACGCTTCTAGCGCAACTAGCCTCTCGCTGGATCCTCTAGCTGCTCGCAGAGAAGAACTTGACTAGCTTTGCCATGCAATGTTGAGCTGGAGGCAGCCAATGCTTCTGCTCAACGTCAATAACCTTGACCCTCTAGCAGTCAGGGAAGTAGCTAAGGGGTACCTTGGATACACACCTGACAAGTCGCTGTTGGTTGTCCTGGCCAAAGTCAATGGCTATCCGTTCCTCCTCATCAAGCTTCTGCAGGGCCTGCGCGATGAGGAATTAGTTGACAGAAGCGTCAGAGTGGCTTAGCTAGTAGGTGATGACCCTAATTTCTTCGTCGGCTCCGTCGTCAGTCCAGCAAGGCCTGTCACGTCCTGCAGATGGCCTCGGTTCCCCGGAACAGATTTTCGGTCGACACCTTACCCGGACTGAGGACGCCGCCAGATCATGCGTCGCCGGCCCTCGCCGGCGGGGGTTGGTAGGAGGCTGTCGGGCTGGTTGACGAGGCCGCCTTGGCACGGGACAACCCAGGTGAGGGTTATCTCCCGGCCGTGGGACTCCGCCGAGTGGAAAGCGTCATCCTGCTGTTGGTGGTCCGTCTTGATAAAGCCAGGTTACTCATCAAGAAACTCGCCTCGCGCAGTGCGACGGGATTGCCTTGGATCTCCAGGTCTGGACGATGCTGCACTGCTGGGCGCTACTTGCTGCCGGTTAGCTCAACGACGCTCCAGTCAAGGCCAGGGAGGTCTCCAAGATGGCTAACAAACTCGGGACAGGCAAGCGTGGCTGCCTCAACCACATTGCCAGCTATATTCTCGCATGCATTGCGCTGCATAGTGGCAACCTAGCAGAGCTCTTGGAGACCTAGAACCGCCTTGCGGCTCCGCCTTGTAGCTGCTTGCATGGCTAGTCAATGCTTTGGGTGGTGGCTATGAGCTATGGGCTGTGAGCCTTAAACAAACAGACACTGCTGACCTGCTAAGCTTGGGCTAATTACGTGCAAGTCACCAACCTCTAAACCTATTCCGACATTGTCCCTGTGATTTGTTTGCATGCTGGTTGATGCTGGTAGAAACGCAGACGCTTGCCTTGTTGTCGCTAGCATTGAGACTGTTGCAGCCTGTCACCCTTTAGGGATCTGGGACGCAGGACGGGCCCTTGCTTGAAGCTGACGCTGACCTTGCCTGACGTGCTGTTGAAATCTACTTCGACAACGTCTAAACCCTTGTCTAGGCAGCCGTATTCAAGGACGCAGCAACGCTACTCTTGCTCAAATGTCGCGCTAAAGCCATGGATAGCCTTGACGCGGCGGATTGGAGGCCTTCTTCTAGGCGCGACCTAATAGATTTTGAGGGGGGCGCGATTAGGGAATAACGTCGCCTTTTACGCACATGATTCTAGTTCATCTGTCGACAAAAGATGACGGGTATGAATTAAGCTGACCTTGCAGATGTTGTGTTTGGCCTTTGCCTCTAGGCATTTGGCGAATCGATCTCCTGAGGGCGCTGCTGACTTTTAGATGCATTACTAGTTGCGGCAAGGTGGTTGCTACTTTTCTCGAGCTGATCTCGGCATTTGAAGTCTGTGAGCCTAAGTATATTGCTGTGAATGACGACTGAATGGTTGTGACTAGCGCAGTTAATATTTCAAACAAACCAAATCTTAGGTTAGATTTGGCTTGATTGAGATAGGATTGCAAGATTGGTTTGTTTGAGATTTGATAGCAGATTGCTAAATCTGCTTATATTATACATTGAAACCTAGCCTGGTAGTACCCTGTCCTTTACGGATGTCCAATTCAAAAGTTTCGTCCCGATTCAAGGGAAACACTAACAGACCCACTCTTTTGACCAACTAAATCAGCCTATCTGCCCCTCTTTATACTCATTTTGCCCTCTAAGCGAATAACCTCCTGGCAAAGCTAAGGACGCCACACACCTGTTGCTTGTAGAGGACTTGGACGCTATGCTTACTAACGTTTAGCACCTACTGAAAGGTGTTAGCGAGGATTTAGTGTCTAAAGTGACTACACCTCATTTAGGTGTTAGTGCTATTTACCTTTGTTTATTGAATAATATCTTTATAATAAGGTGTTAGTACTCGGGACGAAACTTTTGAATTGGACATCCGTAGAGCATCCTCATTTGGCACTAGTGTGGGGCATAGAACTAATCATGCCTATAAGCCTATTGACCAATCGCTAAAATATTATAAGCAGTTACAATATATTTGCCAAACTGCGCCTTATGCTTGCTAAGGCTGTTTGCGAAATTTGAATTGTTGACCGCGCTGGCTATAACCTTCTTTAGGAAAGGTTAAGGCTGCAACGTCAGCCTGCTTGCCATATTAACGCTGGTCAGTCCAAGTCTCTTCGGTGCAATCGATCTTCACGCCGTTTGTTGCCTACGTCCAAGAGAAGCTAGCTGCCAATTCAAATCTCTTCTGAACCGACGTCGACCTCTCCGTCCCCTATCCTGTCCGGCCTGGCATTGGGTTTCGACGACCTGGCCTCGACCGGTCCGCCGGTCCCCTAGAACGTCCCGTTTCACTCCCTAGTTCTCACCGCCAGCCACGACTTTATGGTTACTGTCTTCAAGGTGTCTGTGGCTGTGAGTGGCAAGTCGCGCTACCAGGCCCTCGACATCCACAGCCAGACCATGGTCGCCATCTATGATGGCCATCTCCACAGACACTCCTAGCAGCTAGCCCCAGTCTTCACCCTTGACAAAAACCGTGACCTTGGCGACTTGCGCATCGAGAGCTAGCCCTGGCTGGTCAGCGCCCTGTTCCGCGGCAAGGCCTGCAAACTGCTGCGCGACACATTCAGACTAGAGTTCTAGAAAGGCCAGAACCTCCTCGTCGCTCTGGGAGAAGCATGACCATGTACGGAATCGTCACGGTCACCCCAGCCGGTAGGGCCACCATCCACACCTACGCCGCCCCCGATGTCGCCTAGATGGTCGACAGCTACCTCATTGAACTGCCATCCCAGGTCATTCTCTTCGACGCCCAGCTCATCGAGACCTAATTACTCCTACAAGGTCCTCAAAATCGCGGCTATACATCTCACATGCCTATCTCAACCACTTCGTCGGGCCCACCTACATTGAATGTCCATACACGTAAGTCCCGGCTGTACGATGTGATACTGCCTGGACATGGGCTACTGGGTGACCGCACCAACTACAAAATAGACCAGGCCTACTTGAACGCTCCCTGCAAGGCCTACGCACGCCACCGATCCCGACGACCTCAACCGGAACCTCGGTTGCGTTCCCCGACTACAACGGAACTGCCATGCAGGGCCTCAGAACTTCTAGCTGTTCCCCACCTGACCTCAGAAGTATGAGCCCAACAAAAACGCATAGACTCCCTACTCGAAGGGCTCCCCCGAGCCCACGGCGGCCCCAACTGCTGGTCCAACTTGAAGAAGTTCACGGCGCAGCTATCGATCGGCGGACTGATCTGGACGGCGAAAGGCTGGCCCGGCCCATCAAAATTGTTCCAGGTAGACAACGTCGTTGTGGTCCCTCGTTGGGAGTAGAACCACCGAAACTCGCCGAGATATAGGCGACCTGGTGCTCCAGAAACTTAAGAGATTTCTGTGTGGCTGTACGGGTGTACGGTACTGCATAGTTGCGCACTGTCGGTATTGCCTAGTCTTGCACGGGCAGAAGGTACAGGTAGTACTGGCAGTACAGAACTGGAATTGGCAGTACGGAGCTGGCAATATCGTACTGGGAGTATCGTGCTGTAAGTGCCGGCTGTACGGTACCGGCAGCATCGTACAGCAAATACCAGCCGTTGCAAACAAAGGGAACTTGGCGTTCCACGCAACCCTTGTCAGTCAGGGTCCGCACCCTTGCCAGGTTGATCAGAAACCCACAAGACTCCGAGTACTCGACAAACGCCTGGTTGAAACGTGGGTCGGTCAAGCCCGACTTGTCGATCACCGACACGTTGTCGGGGATCAGCACGGTGAAGACCCCATAGACGAATGCCCACGCCACCTCGCACCCTGCAATCACTGCCTCGGTAGTCTTGGTAAACCTCACCCAGACGAGGCAATGTCGGGAGAAGCAGGTGGTGAATGTCAACGCCTAGACAACCCGACACTAGCCAGACTTAGGATCGTCAGTCACCCCCTTTTGCCAAAGTCCTCCAACTCGACCCCAGACTCGCCGTCCGCACCCGCACCGTAGCCCCCAGGCAGAGCAGCTCACGCCGAGCCCCTCAAGGGCGTAACGATGCGAGGTGTGCTCGAAGACCACCGTCTCCCGCCAGGCTAGCAGCTCTCTAGCCTTCACCGCCGTCAGCCCGTCATGGACTAGCCAGTCGTTCAACAAAGTCGAGGTTAGCCACCAACACCTCCTAGTCAGCGGTCTGACGGTGGGGATGGGCCTTCTCGCACAGAGATGCCAGCAACCTGTCGCTCAGCTGCCTCTCATCGTCGTTGTAGACCAACCCCACCGCAACCGCCGCTCCAACATAACAGCAGACAGGCTTGCAGTCTATCCCCGCCAGCCACTCACTTAACCCTCCCCACGCAACCGCAAGCGCAGAACTTCACAGATATTGTATACACAAACCTCTTAGAACATGGCCACGTTCCGACAGCCGCTGACTAGTTGAAGGTGGCAAATCCGCCGCCGCTAATACATGCCCAACGCAGTGATCCCACTGCTGGCAGAGTGGTGGTCCTATCCTCACGGCAGAACTCACCTCAAAGTGGTCTTGTACCTCTAGCAGGCGACATTGACAACACGCCCTCAGCCTAGACGATATCGGCCCGGTCGAGCTTAAGCTCTTCCCCGACGCACATACAGCCCGCTCAACGTCTCATAGGTTACGGCCGAGAGCCGCCAACAGATCGCACCTGCCTTATTCAGGAGCATCTGGACATCAGTGACGGGATAGATGAACAGTGGTTGCCACCTTCGCCGACTCGGGATTAGCCTAGTCGGCGGAATTTTGGTTTCCAGGTCACGGCTGGCTATGAACAGATGAAACCCCGGGCGACGATCATCTGTCTTGGCCACAAGTTGCTCGACAGGCTCACTTTGGGTTACTAGGACTAGGCCACAGCATGTCGATGCCCAATCAAGTCAAGGTAAGCAACGAAACGGGGCAGAAGCCGGCCCGCGTCGGCAAAGTCGTGGCCGAGAGAACGAGGCAGCCGTAGATAGCCCTCGGCGGCTTGTCCAAGCGCTCCCATCGTTGCATTCCCAGCCACGACTAGGCCACGCCTGGCTGACGGCCGCGATTAGCGGCAGACGGTCACAGGAGCGGGCCTTTCCCGTCACCACAAGTTCCCCTGCCAGGCACCCCAGGACCAGACCTCGGATGTCTACTGATACACCGGTACCCCGATGCTTCTTCCCAGCAGGTGATTCTTCCCAGCAGGTGATTCTTCCCAGCAGGTGATTCTTCCCAGCAGGTGATTCTTCCCAACAGATAATGCTTCCAAGCAGATTGTGCGGCGCATTGGTTCTAGTAGCGGCACGAATCATGATACTGGTGTGGCAGAAGCCTTTCATGGTGAAGATTGGCAAGCTAACCCAGTCGCTTGGCCCTTCGCCACAACTATAGCTAACGATGAATGTGATATCTTGGAGACATCGAAATTAAGGAAGCGTAGCTGCCGCCAGAACGTCTCTAATGGGTAGATCTCACCGATTGTCTACAACACGCCCTTTTGGAGCATTCGTCAGGCATGCAACGCCTCAGTCATCAAGGTACGCGAGAAAGCCGCGCTGAGCCCTAGTCGCGACATCCATACCTGCTCTCAGCGTCGCCTGGCCGCTTCGCCTGGCTTCTGTCACATCCAGAAAGACCCGCAGCCTCTCGATTAGGTAAACGAAGTCCGGGGCCGGCCGAAGGGCACTTCGATAATCTCCACCACCTTCGAGGCCAGTTGAGGTCCGAGGACCACCGCCCGATCGGCCAACAGGACGTCTTGTGGATCTGGTAGGTCACAGAGACCCCCGTCGTCTCCATCTAGGCCGACAATTTAAGCAGCTCTACCTATATCCGCTTACATGTCTACGCGTCCAAAACTGTAAGAGGCTTGTCAAGGAGTGGAACGCCCGGGCTGATAGCGACGACCCATGCTATGTTGACACTCTGTTACATCTCTCTGAACAATTCTCCTGGGTACCGATTGCCAAACCTGGTCAGGCCAACTAGCTCGATAAGTGCCTCGCTTCGTTCCCGGCCCTCCTTGTCGCTTCCGTCGTGCTAGAGCTCCAGCCCATTGGAGACGTTCTGCAGGGCAGTCCGCCAAGGCAACAACGACGGCGCTTGGAAGAATAGGCCTCGACCTCGTCCAGGTCTGGTCTGTCGACAGGCTTGCCCCCAATCTCAATCACGCCTTTAAAGGGAACCAGCCTGGCGACCGCGCCGACCAGACTCGATTTCCCGCATATTCTTGGGCTGATGATCGATACCAACTTCTCTGGCGCGACCTTGAGGGACACGTCGGCTGCTGCGGGAATCACGGCCTGCGCACCCCGCTTCCAGTGTCGATTGCGGTAGTTGATCTAGACATGATCGAGCCCGCAGCTGTCTGGCACAACCAGTACTATCTACCACGGGTGGCCGGGCCAGACCGGAAGTCAGGGATATCTCCTCGTCGAGCAGGTCGCTACATCCCAGCACTAAGAACACTCTGTTCTGACCGAACCGTTTCATCTAGATTGAACGCCTTCCAACATGACTTTCAACTTTCTGCAGCTAAGAAAGGCCAGCGCTACTTTCGAATCAATCTCGATTCCAAGCCCCCATGACGACCAATTTGTCAATGGCGTCTAGTCCTGTGCTGATGTGTATGTTCACTGACTCTCCTCCTTAACGACCGATCGAGCGTGGTGATTGCAGGTCCTGGCAGATGCCAAACTTCATTGTTGCCGACCTGTTCTCTCAGGGGCTCTGCCGTGGCTTCTTCGCTCCTTGGACAAAGCCAACCTAGCGGCGATAGGCCCCATCGGCCAACCTTAACACTTGTGTCCACCCACTCTGCAGAGAGCATGTTGAACATAAAGGCGATGTCAGAGCTGTGGTACGCACCGTGGCCACCCGCTTTGAGCGGCCGAGAGTTCCACAGGAGCTCGTAGGCATAGATATCTCGGCTGGCGGCTGCCACAATCCCCGCCATCTCGGCAGTAGGGTACCGGAATTGCCAGCCAGAATACGCCCAAGCAAGGCCCCATTCGAGAGACCCTTTGCCTCTCCCATAGATTGATACTGAGTCGAGGCCTCGGTGTCAAGACCTAGGGCCCGAAACACCACGTCGATCTCTTGCTCTGTGATAGCCATGGCACCGGCGGCCACCCGGGCCGTAAACTCCTCCAATGTCGTGCCGATGAGTAGTGCCGTAGTGTTGAGCGAACCGGCGCAGGCACAGTTCATGGCAGATCTTTTGTTCATCCAGCTGCTTGGTCGAGACCCTCGTGCCGCTTCGCTTGTAGCCTCAAGCAAGCCAATCCGCCAGCCGATTGGCTTGCTTTCGTGATCCGCTCTAGATTCCTGCCAAAGGCAAACATTCTCATGTATTCCATGTCAGCGCAGCCAGCATGTCCTAGAAAGCCCAGTTGACATTTCCCTTGTCTAAGAGGAGGAACCCTTAGGGACCGACGCGGTAATTAATGGCAACGAGGACGACGCTATCCCTGGCGAAGTTCCAGCTGTCTACCAACTACTTGCGTCGCAGCCGGTTCGGAAGCGTCTGCAGTGGATCCAGACCGGCACCGGCAGGCCGTCCTGGCGGCTCAGGCTCGGCGTTCATATGTTGAGGTTTAGACAGTTAGGTCCCTCCAACTCAGATGAAGCTGGAGGCAGCGGCATTACCAAAGACAGTCGCTCTGTCGCTAAAGCAGGTTGCGGCTCAATTAGAGGCTTGAAGAACCATCGGCGGCATGAAAGTTCGTGGTTCCACAGGCGCCTTGGTAAATGGCACACCGAGGAACTCGAGATCCTCGCCTCGGCTCCTTCCCACTAACAAGGCTGTCTAATTGTCGACGACGACCTTTTGTCCTGTTCCTACAATCTCTGCTTGGTTGCGTTCCATGATTCAGACCCCTTAGCCCTTATACATGGCTGGTTCTCATAGCAAACATATTGTCATACATTGTCGCTACCAGCCACTTTTCCACCAGATCAAGAGCCTGCTCGTAGACTAGGGGATCACCTTTGGCAACCTGGCCAGCACCATCGAAGACTTCACCACCTTATTCTTTGGGCCGGATATCCAACCCCGCCTGCGTCTGTCTTACTTCCTGTTCGCCGAGCCGTCAACCGAGTTCGAGGTGATCTGCCCCATCTATGGCGGCATGGATGTAGGCTGCCGGACCAGCTCCAGATATGGGTAGATCAAGCTCAGCAGCTGCAGCATGGTCAAACCAGCTGTGTTCGCTTTGGCCGGCATCGACTTCAAGGAGTACTCCGGATTCAGGTTCGGTTCGGCATCGAGCCCAGGTCTGCACCGGATTGACAGTCTGACATGCAGGCCGTTCTCGACAATGACCTCTACTTCCTCACCCAGTTCTGATTCCCACCTACTCCTTCCCACCGCTCATCGCTGTGTCACAGATTTGAGGCCATGTACTCGCGCCACTGACTTAGCTCCGTAACTTCGTGCTGTTTGACCAGCCTGACCCAGCCTAGCCAAGGCATGGTCAAACCTCAAGCTTGCAGTCAAGGGTGTCTAGGAGATCGCTAGAGGCCTAGATAGCGTCGAGGTGGTGGGTACCCTTGATACCTAAACCTACCCTAACGCAGACAAGGTCTGGCTAGTCGATGTTTAATCGCCGAAGCCCTCGGGATTACCCCTAGTGTCATGTTTGACCTAGGCATCACCCCTAGCTTGCCTATGGCTGGCATTGCTTGCGGCTTGGCAGCAGCTCTCCATATCCTTTTGCCATCCTGGCTGTCTCAGTTCCTGTCAATCGGGCCGTCTAGATGGCATTGGTGGCTGTCAAGGACTTCAACCTCTAACTCTACTTCACCAGCATCATCTTGACTAGCGTGCAGGTAAGACCGCCGCCTGCTTGGCCAGCCGCTTGCCTAGGCCTGGCTAGAATCCGCCCGATTAACAACATAGTCGACGCGTCCAACTACGTCATGCTCCACCTTGGCCAGCCCAACCACTACAACTTCGACTAGATTAGAGGCTAGGGACTAGTGGCCCGACAAGCCCATCCAGCCGAGACCATCGTGACCTTAGACAGCATTATCTCGGGGCTAGAAGTCACTGACAGTGTGATCAGCCACGCGGCCGGCAGGGCAATGGGCATCAGGGGCACCCTGGACGGAGAGTCTAGCAACATCACCAATGCCGGCACCACGTCACCACGGTGCTGCTTGAGGCAGCCTACTTCACCCGATGGCCATAGCCGGACTGGAAAACGGCTGATGTTGGGCAGCAAAGCCTGGGACCGTTTCGAGTGGGGGATCTATTCTGAGATTGCCCTGGTCACTGTCAACATCTTCGTCCACCTAGTTGGCCAGACAGCCGAGGCAGTGCGAGCTGCTGGGGCGGGGTGGCTGGCTCCGAACCGAGGCACCGGCCGCCGCCGAGATCTGGTTGGGCTTGAAGAGGCCTGGACCACAACCTTCCTGGCACCAGGTGACCTCAAGCGCGCTAGCCTGGATCTGGCCGCGGTCGAGGTGGAGAATCCGCTAGACTGCTCCAAGTCGTCCTGCGGACGTCGTAGCTGCCTAGGCTGCTCAAAGCGGTCCGCGTTAACGTGGACCATCAAGAGCACAACGTCTGCCTCTTTGAGATCAAGTAGACTTTCACCCTGTCCACCGGAAATCTCATGGTTTTGACCAAGACCAAGACCTTGGCTGTAGTCCTGGCCAGTTTGGGAGCTGACGCCTGATTGACGGCGAGGACCTAGGCTGTCGTTGCTAATGCCTTGCGCCTCGCTAGCTCGCGCATCATAGCCCAACACATTCCCAGTATGCACCAAACCTACGCAGCGTCTATCATCAAAGCCAGCGGCGCCACGCTTGGATTGGTTGCCAAGGTTGACTATGAGATGGTGGCGGCGTATAGCTAGGCGGGCCGGATCGGCTAGATCTAGGCAGCCATAGCACCGCTTTTCATATTCTATGGGATTAGCATCCATTGTGTTAAACCCTTATTGCTTACCTCTACTATCCACACTGCATTAAATAGCAGCAAGCTGTTCCTATATCGCAGCTAGTAAGACACTTAGGTTGCCTAAGGCTTTGCTAGTTTCATTTAGCTATTACAACTGGAAAGCATGTTTCTTTTATATAAACAAATAAAAGAAGTTAAAAGTTTAATATTAAATACATTTAATATCAAATTATTTTGCTATGAAATCCTTTCTATTTAAATCTTTTTATTATTATATATTTATATTATTTAAACTTTATATTATTTAAACATAGCTTTAGGTATACCTTGAAAGAAGCCTCACTGAGATTCCATTGAGTAATTAATGTTAATTTTGGTATAATGCTAAGTGAAGAAGCATTTTAAACAACAGCGCCAATAATGCTAATAACTCTAACAACGCCAACCTCTACATATCTTACCAAAACTTATCTACCCTACCCTTTTATACTCTCTTAGTTTGCTAACAAATACACCTACTATAGGTTAAACTTTAGCATTTTGGAATACTATAGCGATTTTTTATTGTCTTTCTCTAAGCTCTTTTCTTAAATGCATTGCAAGTCTTTGCAGATTTTGTTAACCTTGCTAATGCTTTTCTTAGTTTTTATTGCAATCTTTTTATATCTTATAACCAAAAAGACAAAACCTTTGTTATTGGTTAACTTTTAATCTTTAGCAATATCTAGTGGTTTTTCAAACTATAGCATAGCTTTGCTATATAAATTAAGCTACGTATCTACTTTCTTTAAAAAGAAAAGATAAGTAATTTTAATAATTAATATAATTGCAAAGATTAATTAACATAATAGTAAATAAAATTGTTTAAGATGGTAATAATAGTATAAGATAGTATTTAGAAATGAAATTTCTACATGTTATATCTTAACTAAAGACTTTGTTTTATATAGCTAGGTATTAAAGTTTATAGCATAACTTATTAGCAACTTGCATTAAATTTAAGGTTAAGTTTAAGCTTATGTATACTATAGTAAACATTAGCATTAGGATTTCTTTAAAGTTATTAAGATAAAACTAGCAAAGTATTTTCACTAGGTATTTTTTAAACCTTAATTAAATAAATCAAATGAATATTATTTAAACTTTATATTATTTAAACTTTACATTATTTAAACTATAATAAGCTAAAACTTACAAAATTAATCTAATAGCTATCAAAGTCTTTAGCATTTACTAACTATTTTAAACTATACTAACATAGTAAATGGAAAAATTATAAGTTATATTAAATTAAAATAAGGTAGTTTTAGCTATTTAAAACTGTAATAAAACTTAAATTTGTAAAAGAATTATCAATTGTTATAGTTAATTACACGCAACACTTTTTTTACCTTAGTTTAAGAATTTACGTAATAGTATTTAATTTTCAAACTTTTATTTCTTTCTTACACTACTTAATTTAATTAATTACAATACTAGCGTTTACTTACTTTATGTTATTAGATTAAAAAGTTAACTATAAAATACATTAAGCTAATTAAGTTTACCTAATTAGTTATATGTGTTAAAAGCAAGAAAAATGGCGCGTTGGCAGGGAGCTACTTTAATAGCAATCTTGTGATATTGTATGAAGTAAAAGTGGTGTTGATATTTGGTGGTTTCTATGCAAAGGGTGTGTAGGCTTTGACTAACCCGCGCTGGCGCATAGGCTAGGTCATAGGCCTTTGGGGCTACTTTGGGCCCTGCCTTTACTGTCTATTTACAGCTAGTAGAAACTATCCTTTCTACCTTACTAAGCCTTACGCATCAATATGCTAGGCTTGAAAAAGGATCCACCTGCCCTTAAGTGTCACGTGGCAATGCTGCTATTGGTAGAGGCCTAATTAGCCTAACTAGTTAGGCTACTACCACTAAAAAATCTAGAGATTATCTAATTGTATAAATATTGTAAATCTAGACGCTTTTGAATGGTTTAAAGGGCTGGATTTTACAGCGCCAAAATCGTCAATTTCCTAGGATTAATTCTAATACAATAGATTAATCTTCTTTTAATCTTGGAACTAACAGGACATGTAATTGGCTTAAAATAAGTCACATGCTGATGTTAAATTAACTGCCAATGTTTTTGTAAGTTAAGCCTGTCGCGTGCAATGGCTTGATTGCTATACATGCAGCTTAGTAGCTAGCTTTGCTGGTTCTTTGGCTAGCTTGGTAGCTAGCTTTGTAGCCTTGGAGGCTTTAGCCTTCTAGCCTTTGGTCTTTTTAGCAAGAAGCTTACCTGCCCTAGCCTTATATTTGTCAATAAGGCGTTGTGAGTGGTTTAGATCTGCCACTTTTTTCTACTTGTTATACTTGTAGCCTTAACCTTTCTACTTGATTAGGTATTGAGTTGTAGCTATGCAGCTGCAGCTAATCTTAACCTCTTGCTTCCTAACTAGCTGCTTTATCTTGTATACTGCGTTAGGGTTGTTAAGGTTGCTATTAGACTTGTCAAGGCTAATGTTAATTAGGCTTAGTAAAGGCTAAACCTGGCTGTAGAGATCTTTGTTATTGCTAGTATCTAGGACTAAGTGCTATACTAAGATGACTAAGTAGATATTCTAATTGTTAGGAAGGTTTAATTTGTAGGCTAGCTTGCTAACTTTCTTGAGAATTGTAAAGGGTCTAGCATACTGCTAGGACTACTTGCGAGAGGGTTGACTAGAAAGGTAGTAGCTATGGTAAAGTTGAAAGAAGACTTTGTTGTTGACGTTGAATTTGACTAGGCGGTGCTTTTGGTTATACTAATGCTTTGCCTGTATAGTTGCAAAGGTTATTGCTAGCTTAGTGTCTTTCTAGATAGCTGATTGGACAAAGCAAATGAGGTTAAGCTAGGCTAGAAAGTTACTTACACTAGCAATTACCTTGGCAAGGCTTGAAAGCTTGAAGCTAAAGAGGATTTTGTTAGGAGATGCTGCTATTCCTTTGTTATGCGTATTGTTAAGATTCTACTAGAGTGTAGGAATAATGTTAACCTAGTTGTCTTTAAGGTTGGTAAAGCAGTAGAATTAAATAGCTACTTCTATAGTCTAATTCTTACGCTTTGATAGGCTGTTAGCTTGTAGGTAGTATGCTGTTATTATTATTAACTTGGTGTTAAACCTAGCCTATAGCCTTTTCTAGAATTTCGACTAGAATTTAAAGTCTTGATTAGAGATAATTCTGCGTAGGATAGGCTAGTCTAAGAGTAGTAGGGTTTGGGTAAATACTAATCTCTAGTCTTTTGCTATATAAGTTGCATAGCTTAGAATTAGTAAGAACCTTTTGGTAAACTTATTAGTAGTTGTAAGCAAGGTGTTGTAGGTTTTGTAACTTGGAATCTGCTAGAGAGTGCTAGCTAAAGAGACTTTTAGTAGACTTACAATAAAGTCAATTGCTACTACCTGCATAAGAGTTGGTTAGGTCTGAATTGGCTGGTAATTACTAGGCAGTTTGCTATTGTTAGTATAGTTGACTTTGCAAGCAAGGTAGTTAGTAATATACTAGTTAACCTCTTGGCGCTTCTAGTGCATCTAGTACTAATCTAGCTCTTATAGCATACATTTGTAGCTAAAGTGGTGCTTTTTATTGTAAGCAGAGGCTAGGAATTTATAGTATAACAATTGTAGTATATAGAGCTATTGGAAACTATTATGCATTGTATGGTATAAAAGACTATTGATTAGCTTAAATGCAAAGGCTGCTTTAGCTAGAGAAGTGTTTTTAACAACTTTGTTATCACTATGCAAATCTTTAAAGATATTTGCATAGCTTGAGTCTGCGATATAACTAGTATAGAAGCACTTTTTTAATTCGAGACTTATCAAGGCTTTAGAGGCAAGCTATGTGTTATTAGACTGCGCAGTGTATTAACTATTATTAGGCAGGATGTTGTCAAAGGTTGGTATAGCTGTAGGTTTAGGCTTTGCAGCTAAATCAATTATCTTTAGTTAAGACAATGCGTTAAGGACTATATTAAGTTTGCTAGCAATATGGTAGACTTGTAGAGGGTATTGCAATAGGTAAATCAAGGCAGTAACTAGTTGTTGATTAGCTTAATTAGTAGATAAGATATTAAGAGTGATTTGCTTTACAATCTCTTTGGTAGCTAAGTGATTAGTTAGTATAATTACTGGCTTTTCTAACAATTGAATTATTGTCTTAATCTTTTGCATAGCATAGACTAGGCAGCCAACTTCTAATTTGAAAGGTTTGTAGCATTGCTTGGCGCTAGAAAAGGTCTAGCTAATAAATATCACAAGCTAAACCATTGCTAAGGGTATTTTGTGACTAGGCTTCTAGTCATAACTGTCTTTAAGGTAGAAGACTATAATGCTAAAGCTATTTTCTAGTAAGCTGTTAAGCTGTATAAATAGTGGCTTTTAAGGATTGAAATGGACTAAAATGGTGTTTTTGGTGAAGGCTTTTTGCAAGGCGTTGAATGCAAGGATTTTAGTCTCTATAGGCTTGTAGTATGTCTTTTAACAGTAGGCTTTTTGATAGTTGATTGCGCTAGGTTTTAGCTTTCTATCTTTGCAACCCTTGGCTAGTAAGGCTTTCTTTTGCTGCTGTAGTGGTTTGGCAAGCTAAGCGTAGTAAGAGATTAGGTGACAAAGAAAGCTAGTGGCACTAATATACTGTTTAAGGCTAGCAAGCTAGGCTAGAAAGGCGATATTTCTAATAGCTTCTAGGCGCTTTTGAGTTGTAGATAGTCTAAATCTATTAATGCGAAAGCCAAGAAGCTTGACAAAAGGGTAGCTTAGGTAAGACTTCTTTGAGGCAATTGAAATATTGTATTTGATAAAGAGGTTAAATATATGCATTAAGTGCTTTAGATGCTCTTTCTTAGTCTTAGAGTATATGACGATATTGTTAATAAAGGTGCGGCAGTAATCTTTGAAAGGCTTTAGAAGTTAGTCTATAAAGCGCTAGATGTAG